TGCTTGAGAGCCTTCATTGCATCTATAGTGAAGCTCGCACTATCAGTACTAGTCGGTGGAGATGAACCACTAGGAGTAGGATCATCAATCTTAGTCATATGGGCATGAGAAGGGCACCTAGCACCAGCCCTATTACCACCACACCCCCCTAGAAGGCCGACGTCCATGTAGTTGTCAACAATGATCTTTAGTGTGCCTCATTTTTTCACAGTAGTCACACTTTAATAGATCTTTTTTCGTGCTCCTATGCTTACCATCACCATGAGGCTGAAAGGATTTATTCCCTCTATGTGAAATAGTTGTTAGAGCAAACCGATCATGGACAGGAATATGAAGCATGGAACTCCTACTCTCCTCTTACTGCACATAACAATAAGCTTGCCTCAAGGAAAGAAAGGGATCTCTACCCAGAACCTGTATATAAATTTGATGGCCTACAAGGAAATTGTATACTCATTCTTTTCCTATCAACTTCTAAAACTTAGCACTCTCTCTAACACAATTTGTTTAAAAATCCTGGTAATAATCTAGTTCCGGCCGAAAACTACTCAAACCTGCGTAGTATTCTGCTAGTCATATCCTTTTATCTGGATTCATGAATCTTCTTCCTGAGCTCATAAATCTGGGTATCATTCCCGACTTGTGAATATGTCTAAGCCATCGTTGATGCTGTCTCACGAAACAGAAAATTACAAATAATGTGAGGCTGCATCGAGTTGAGTAACCATGTTATTACCAATGAGTTCTTAGACATCCACGGGCTAAGATCAAGTTCAAATTTGGGTTTCACATTTGCTCCCGTCAAGTATCCATTTAGTCCACTTGTCCACACAGACAAAAGGCACAATCAAGACCTGCCAAGTAATTGCCTTCATCCAATTTTACTGGACTGATTTGAAGAGAGGGGTTGCATCCAAGAGTCCCTACACGACTCACCACACCTTTCTCATTGTTAGTAGTTTTCCCATTAACGTCAGACATGGCTTCTTCGCAATTAGAGGATTAACCCAACACAAAAAAAACCAAAATAGCAACTAAAGGGCAAACTAGTGACTGCGCAGCACAAAGAAGCTACAAGAGGGTCACCGAAATTCACAGTCCAACACAACCAATTACCGAAACAGGCTTGCCGGAGTTCTCAAAGGACACGAAGTCCTTTGCTGGCCAATGAAATGCACAACCAAGCACTAGGATCCACAAACAACTCAACCACAGCCTCAAACACATTGGGAGAAGGCCACCGGAGCCTAGTAGCAACTAACAGTGTCTGTCGATGTCCAAAAAAAGCACAAAAACCACCGAGCTGTGCAAAAAACTTCCCTATAGTTCTTAGGAGGGCTAGTCGATACCCACAGTTGTCCATTAAAAGAGGTATAACAGCCTTAATGTCAACCAAACAACGGATCGAAAAATATGACCTAGAATTTCAAAAAAAAACACTCAAAAATTAGAAAAGTACCTCAGATGGCTTCAAAAAAATCACCATCATACTCGGGAGAAAAAATCGAGTCATACCATATTAGTTTCCATCGACTTCAGCGATGACATCATCATTTTGACGATAACGTCAACAGCCTAGGAGATTAACAAACTCTCTCCAAGTGTTCTAGTGACTCTAAAGTTTAGAAAAATTGCTCAGATACCAAGTTAAAATCTAAATTTAGGGTTTAGAGTGGAGAAGAGACAAGAAGAGAGAAGAAAAAAAAGAGATTAGGAAATAGTGTTAAAAAGAATTAGAGTTAATCAGCCTCTCTAATCATCGCCAGTATTTATAAACTCATAATAATGTGAAGATTAGAACAATACTCTCAATTTAAAATAACCTAATATTCTACAGTTTTATATCAAATTTTATTATTTTGCACGTTGCTTCTCAATTTATTGCAAGCTTGAATTATTTCGTATCAAGTTTTAGTATTTTGTACATTGGTTCTCAATTTATTACAATTTTTAAGGAGACTCACGCCCTCTACGGATAACAAAGCTCAAATTCAATGCAACAGACCTTCTCATTTGGCTTGTCCCTTCTAGGATACAACAATCCAATAGTTTTGTATGACACTAACCAACTCTGCATAAGTAGTTAAGTTTAAAGCTCCACCACAAAAATAGCCTTCTTTAACCTGAACTCTCAAGTGTATGTAGTATGTTATGAAGTATTACAATAACTTGGATGATGTTCCATGTATCTCACAATGACCATTTTAGAAGTTATATTTATAGGCTCTTAAAACTTTCTAGAGTTCATGTATCCAAGTCATACATGTATACACAAAGTAAATATATGTAACTATACATATATGTAATAATGATCAATTTATAAGTCATACATGAATGTACATGGATAAAGTTCATGAATATAGTTTATACATGCATCTAATAAATATGGATCATATATAGAAGTTAATTAGACATACATTAATGCATCAAGTTCATGTTCATGTATGTGCATTATACATTCATCTCATATATATAATTCATGCATAAGAACAAATATGATACATATATCAATAGATTCATATTATATATTAATATTAAAATATACCAAGACACTTTTGCTCTAGATCTTTATGGGGGAATCCACTGTTCACATTAAGTAGGACACAAATAGAATTTATTTTTTCTATAGGGGCAAATGTCGCAAATAACCAATTCGATGGCAAAGCCTTGGGAAACCAAGCTAGACTTGTATCTTTCAACTGAGCCATCTTCCTTTTGTTTCACTATAAATAACCATTTCCATCCAACCAACTTCTTACGTTCAGGTATGAGGTAACTTAACCAAACCCCAACTATTATTCTTTTGAACTGCATTATCTGTTCACACATCAATTCTCTCCACTCTGGATCATTAAGTAGAGCTTGTGAATTCTAAGGAACAGTCACAAAATAATTGGCATCCAAAAGCATGATAAAATGGTGAACTGATGCAATAATACAAAATTGGATAGGATCTTGAGTATAAGATCAAACACCGCAACACACAACAAGGACTATTAGAATTAAGAACCTAAAGCGGGAGTATTAGAAGAAGGATCAAGAATATAGACTCATACAAGATTACCCGAAGCCGATGAAACTACTTGGCAAGGCGGCAAGAGAAGAAAGATCTTGTGAATAACCAAGGAAAATGCATTTGGTAGGTTTTGGATCTAACTTCGAGGAGTGACATGAAGAAAACAAACACAACCAAACACCCGAGGTAAAACTAGAAAACTAGTAGAAAATAAAGATGAAGAAGATGAAATAGGAGGGGACACGACCTCACTTTGTAAATCCAAGGTAAGCTAACGTCAAAGGTACACACTACATTTCCCCACAATTAGCTCTGATTATCTCTTGAATCTCTACTGACTTAAGCATCAAAGTACCTCCGAGCAACCCATCTCAATCTCTGACAATTTTATCATTTTTCTGGGGCAATGGTGCAGTGTGTCTTATTCATTTGTTCCCAAACAAATCATTAAAGTAGTAAGAGGTTTCTTTTCACCGCTTACAATAGTATTTTTTCTTTTAGTTTTTGCAAATCATAAGCCCTTGTTTGTTGCGCATCAAGACAAAACTCTTCATGTGTTCCACATGCAAATATGATTAAGACTCACACAGTATCTCTAATAATAAGTTGAAGTTGGGTGAATGTATAATAAAAGAAAGAAAATGAAAAAGAGAGAAGAGGAGAGAAAATATAGTTGTGAGAGGTAGTCAGAACTAGGGTTCTCTCCCACATAACCTCATATTAATACCGACTTAATAAACAAGAGGATAAAGCTATCCCAAACATTATACAAAGATAAAATTATCACATTCCCCAACAGAAAACTCTTTCGGATATAATTTTCTTCCCTAAAGAAGCTCAACATGTCTCCCTTCATTAGATCTTGCACCTCTTCATAGGCATTATAATTGCTTGAATTAAGAGCAGAAATTCCTCATTGACATTAGATTATTCTAATGGTGTAAATATAGCACCTTATCTGAGATTGTGTTATCTACTTCGAGCAGGTCACGTGTTGGTGTTTGCTAGTTTAATGAATGCCACATGTATGCTGAAGGGTCTACTATGGGCTGCCCATCTCTAATTTTATCCTCTTAACTTCAGTCTCTGAGCACTAATTTTAATCTTTAGGTTAGACCCATGGTCGGTAGTGTTGGATTTTAACAAGTCAATACCACATTTATTACACATTAAAATGCATTAAAACACTAACAGTTTTTATTTAAATAGTTCAGAATTGAAATGTACAAATAGTCCGTAATAGGGAAAGGCATGAATTGAGGGAAAAAAATGTGAAGCAATTATTTCAGAGATTTCAAATGTGAAAGAGGACCCCAAATACTCAACACTGGTTCTACCAATTTGCTTAGTATTTTGAGCAATGCTATCATTATGTTAGCAAATTATGTCAGATTTTTAGGTCCCAATAGCATTGCTCTAGTATTTATCACTCTGGACAATTTGCTGGGCATTCTTCTAGTTTGGGTAAATTTAGCTTTGCTACCAATAGATGCTCTAAAATTTTAAAGCTGAGAAGGGCCTTAAGGAAAAAGTACGTTATCTTGACGAAGAGATGTTTGGTTTCAGATCTTAGACCTAAAATGAGAAGAAAGCTGTAGTAGAGTTTTGCTATGCATCCTTCTTTCATTCACATTTTTTCCCCATATTTATACCTCCCAACATTATGCTCAGCAGTACACTTCCATTACAGAGCACAAAAACCGAACCACCCAAAGACAAACAGTTGTGCTGTAATTGGGAAAACTATAAACCCAACTATCTAGCATGTATACCAGAACACAGGCTCTGAATCCCAAATGCAAGGTTGTGCATCTATTGCACTTTTTTCCTATACTTTCAACTATTGCATAAGTGTAACAGAAAAATCAGATTTGCATGCCATCTGAAATAGTATGCACTTTCAATTCCTTTTGGGTGCAAACCTTATGCATCTGACATGGATTCTAATGCATCCTATCATTTAAGGAATACTATATACGTAATATTAATTATGTGTAGTTGCATGCATGTAGCCGTCCATGAGTGGCTTTGAAACCCTTACCATTGCCTGTGATGTGATTGATCTATCACTGTCAAGTGAGACATATGAGGATTCAGGAGAGGTGCGCATATCTACAGATCTACGTCCAAGATGCAACGACTCAAAGCTTTTATTGTCTATGTCTGAGAAACTTGAAAGCTGGGAGGTTGGACCCATCTCGAAGCTTTCATCAAATGATGGAAACATGCGATCGGTGCTTGGTCTTCCAGAGCTGACAAAGGATATATCAGCGTCTGGTTGGGAGAGTTCATATGGTTTGCCATTTGGGCCTCTCCTGTGAGTAAATGGCGATCTGTTCGCAATAAGAGTCTTAAGTCAGTCATGTATTGTAAAAGGTCGTTATAGAAGGTGTTATTTTCACCAAGACCATCAAGTATTTTTTCCTCATACAAAATACAAACAATCAGATTTCGAATAGAGTTCATCCATATTTGTATTTGACTTACTTGATGAAGCTTGTGTCATTGGGCAAGCTATTCGTTGGTGTCTCAGATGTTGACCTTGGAACTCCTGAAGGAGAAAAACACAACTATCAACTCAATATCAGCAGTCACACAAGCAACATATACCAAAAAGGGATCATGCTTGTGGTGAACAACTAACCTTTTATACTCATTGTAGAGGGTAACTGTGTCTCAGACATATCAGGACTGCTGCTGGACTGATACAATAATTGATTGCGGATTGGGGAAACAAATGGGGGTGGACGGGAGGCAGATAGTGTAGACGAGATCTTTCCTTTGGAAATGACATATACAGAACAAAAGTCTGGCATGCCCTTTGATACACTGCCTGGAATATCTCTTGATTTAAATCTTCTGTGAAAAAAGCTAGCTAACTTAGAACTTTAGGATCTGCTTTTAAATATCACCAAGTAGAATGTCAGCGATGCAGGACTTCCTTAGGAGATTTCTCTCAGAAATCTGGCCAGCATTTTCATGATCTAGTTATTGATTGGGAATGGATATCAATCGGTATCAGAAATATGACGGCACTATGACAGTCTAAAGCTGGTGTTTCAAGTTTTTGTTTGGGATATTTGGGTCTCTAAATATTTCAACTATTTTCAATGATCATACACTCAATTCTCTATAAATATTTGATGGAATTAGACATGTGGCAGCAATCATAATAATACATGTAGCACCTTCTGTCGATTATTAGGACAAAAGTTAATGATTACACCGTTTAAAAACAAAATAAAAAACTCTATAAACTAAAGAGGCGTAACTAAAAGATTTCACCACAATGAGATTGAGCACATCCTTCAAGGATCACTAACGTATTTTACCTATATGCTGTAATCATTAAAGATCGAATTTCCAGAATAAATGTTATATGTCAACCAGTTTAACCTTCTTTCTTTAATCTTACATATGGCAATTTTTATTGTATTGGCTTTGATGAAGAGAATGAATTTATACCTTAGAATGTTCTGAAATAAAATCGGTATATGTAACTACATTAGGATAAATTGTGAACTTAAATTTTTTATTCGGGAAGTGTTTTCAAGTTTACGCAGTTTGACTTTTGTGATAAACTTCGTGTACCCGTCCTATTGCGTCGTAGAGTATTTAGTTTATACATGAGCTTTAGTGCATAAATCAACAAACTTGATTAACGGAGAAGGCAATATCGGGACGAGTTAGTGTAAGGTACTGTAAAGCCCCAACAACACTTCGATATTCCAAAGGATTGGCAAGTGGATCACCAGCATCAACACTCAGTTTACCACAAATAACACATGGAGAAGAAAAATGTTTAGCTTCAATCATCTTTGTGCAGGTGAGGAGTTCAAGGGCATATCTTGTTTGGGTGAGGAATAAATTGTCATTAGAGAAGGCAGCCTCCAAGCCAAGAAAATAATAAAGTCTTTCATAGCAAATAGTTTGTTCGAATCATGGATAAGCTATTGGAGATGAGAAGCACTATTGCCAGTGAGAAGAAACACAATAACGCCATCACGTTAACACGTTAACACGTTAAAAGTGAGTAATCAGCCTTGGATTCATTGAAACCAAGATCTTCAAGATAATCTAAAAACCATTGAAACCATGCCCTTGGCAATTATTTTAATCCATAGAGGGACTTATGTAAACATGTTCCCCCATCAGACTCTGGCACCGTGGATCACCGTCCTCGCTAACCTCAACGCACTTGAAAGTGTCCTGATAGGTTTGGTTTTTCCAACTCTTGTTACTCTTCTAATTTTTGTTCTTTCCTAATTTCTATACAATCTCTGTCTGAACTAACCTCCTATAAAGAGGTTATACTTGATCCTCTTTGGCAACAGGCTATGGATGAGGAATTTTCTGCTTTACATAAGACTCAAACTTGGGAGTTGGTATCTTTATTTCTAGGAAGCGCACAATTGGTTGCAAGTGGGTTTACAAAATCAAAACTCAATCTGACAGTTAAGTGGAAAGGTATAAAGCTAGATTAGTGACCAAGGAATTTGCTCAAGAGTATGGGCTCGGCTACAATGGACTCTCGCTCCTGTTACTAAGATTACCATAGTTCGCACAGTAATTTCTGTGGCAACTATTTGTCTATGGAACTTATCTCAGATGGATGTGAAAAATACTTTTCTCCATGGTAATTTATTTGACGAGGTTTATAGGACTCTTCCTCCTAGGTTGCCTCATAGTCTTGGTCAAGTATGCAAACTTCACAAGGCTTTATATGGTTGAGAGAATGGTTTGCAAATATTTTTTCAGTCATATGTAATTTAGGCTTCTATGTTGGTGATCATAATTCTGCTCTCTCCTTACAATTCATTGCTTCAAGTTTTATTTTTCTATTACTTTATGCGAATGATATGATTATTACAGGTAATGACATTGCTGAAATTCGATTGTTGAAAACTCAATTACATGATTATTTTGAGATAAAAGATTTGGGTCCACTTCAGTATTTCTTAGAGATTGAAGTTACTTCCTCTCCTAAAGATTATATTCTTTCTCAGTCAAAGTATGCCTCGGATGTTAGAGTCCGGTATATCTTATTGTTACTTGTCCAGATATCACTTATGTTGTTCATGTGATTAGTCAGTTTGTTGTTGCTCCTATCACTCTTCACTGGTCCGCTATTCTTCGGTATCTACAAGGTACGTTGCATTAGAGTTTATTATTTTCTTTCTCATCGTCTCTAGAACTCCGAGCTTTCTCTGATGCAGATTGGGCTATTGAATGGATCGCAAGTCCACCACTGATTTTTATCTCTTTCTCGGTGATTCTGTTATTTCGTGAAAAAACAAGAAACAAACTATTATGGCTCGATCCTCCACTGAAACTGAGTATCGTGCTATGACATCCACCACAGCAAAGATAGTTTGGTTGCATTAGCCGAGGATCAAACTATTGTTTCAAAATGGTCAAAACATCCGAAATATTTTCGTTTCTAAGGAGACCGAAACGAATCAGTAATGGAATCGAAATTCTAATACTTCGAGGTATTCCATAATATTTTGAAACGTATTCTTATATTTCAATGTATTTGCACAATTACTTAAGAATGTTTCAAAGTATTTCATAATATTTTGGTATATTTCGACCAATGTTTTGAAAACATAATTTTTAAATTTTTTATTTTTTTATTATGTTTTCGAAACAGATCAAAACTTTTTCGAAACGTTTCCGTTTCTTAGGTGACCAAAATAATACACCAAAATGAAATCTTAATTATTGGCGTTGGCTGCTTGCCGATCTTGGCATTTCTTTGCCTACTTCTACTCCTATGTATTGTGATAACATCAATGCTATTCAAATTACCCACAACTTAGTGTTTCATGAGCGCACAAAACATATTGAAACTGATTGTCACATTGTGCGCTATCATTTTGAGTTGGGCACAATCTCTCTCCTCTTTGTTCCTTCGACTATGCAGTTACCAGATTTCTTTATGAAATCTCACACTATCGTGCTCTTCCGTTTCCTTCTTGGCAAACTCTTAATGTTTGATACTACTACATCATGAGTTTTTGGGGGATGTTAGAGTAATCTCATACATTAATAGTAGGAGTAGATTAGTCATTTGTGTTACTGCCTTAGTATATAAGACTATTATTGTGTAGTCTTCTATTTGAAGGTTTGTAATACTGACTTAGTTTACCTCAATAAGAATCTCTTTGTCTCTCTATTTCTCTTTTTTTCTCTTTCTTAGGTAAATATTAACAGCAAGAAGAGTCTGTATGGTGGTATGCTTATGCTTAACAACTGGACTGAATGTTTCAGTATAATCTAACCCAAGTTCTTGACGAAAACCATTAGCGACTAGCCGAGCTTTGTACCATTCAACAGGTCCATCAGATTTTCATTTGATCTTATAAACCCTCTTGTTGGACAGAATGTTCCTTCCAGTGGAGGGAGGAACAAGAAACCAAGTTTAATTATGTTGAAGGGCATTGAATTCAAAATACTTTGCTTGACGCCATTTAGGAATTGTGTGAGCTAGGGTAAATGAAGAAAGCTCCACCTAATCAGTGGATAAACGGATAGTGAGTGCATACTTGGGATTGAGCTTGCGGGTTCCATCTTAGGTGCGGGTCAGCATTGGATGTGTTTGACCAGAGGGTGGAGTAGAAAAATGTAGTGGAACTGGAATGGGACAAGGTCTGGCAACCAAAGAAGAAAAATCAGTCGCAGGATAAGCAGGCTGTTCAGATGGCAAACTGGAGCAAACTGAGTTTGGGGCAAAGGTGGACTGTTTACAGGAGTAGTTGCTATGGTCTGATTTATTTTTGTTATATGGTCGAAGGTATGGATAACAAGCATACCTGAAAACTTGAAGAAAAGAATAATTCGGAGGCCGATGCAACAACTTTTCATACAGGATATATGAGTTAAGACTTTTGCGGGAAGCCAATTTATAAGATAGACAAATGCATTAAATGCATCTACCCAAAATTTCGAAGATAACCCTGCTTGAGCCATAAGCATGAGACCAGTCTCTACAATATGCCTATGTTTTTGCTCAGAAACTCCATTTTGTTCAAGAGTATTGGAGCACGAGACTCAATGAACAATACCATTGGTGGACAAATATTGCTTAAACTCATCTTTGTTATACTCGCCCCCGTCGTCGGATTGAAACGATTTAATTTTGCATGAGAACAAATTTCCTGCATATGTCTTAAATTGTAGGAAATATGAAAAAGTCTCATGTTTAAATCGCATATCAAAAATCAAGAATACTTAGAAAAATCATCAACAAAGAGAAGATAATATTTCGAGCCTTTTATTGAATAGTGAGGGGATGTCCAAACATCGGAATGAACAAGTTCCAATGGACATGATGCAATAGAATTAGATAATTGAAAAGGTAAACGATTTTTTTCCTAGACAACAAGAAACAGAAAAAACATCATCTTCAACAGAACCAAGGAGAGGAAACTTCTGTTGTGAAGCGAGAAGCGGTCAAGAAAGGCCGGATGTCCCAACCATTGATGCCAAACGGAAGAAGAGGCACGATCACCAATAAAAACAAACGACAACTGGTGGTGGTGTTGAATTTGTTGATGAAGCCTCATAGGATAGAGCCCATTTTCACTCTTGTCGTGGAAAAGCATCTTCCCCGTCTTGACGTCCTTCACAGAAAAACCATTAGAGGTGAAAATAAAATAACAATTATTATCACGCGAAAATTGGTGAACAGAAAGGAGATTAACTGAAACATTAGGGCAATGCTAAACATTTTTCAAAGTAAAAGCAGATGAGTTGTGGTGGAGAGTTATGGAACCGGTATTGGAAAATAGGTAAACCTACGTTATTTCCGACT